ATCAGGCAAAAAACTAACTCAGAGCAACAGTGATGGAGAGAAAAAGATTCAAAAGAGAATCTTTTGAATTACAGGAAGATGGACAAGGTATAATTACAGTACTTAATAACCAATTGGATTGAGGTTTGAGATTTGGCAGGCGCATGAAGGAAACGAAGGAATCTAGTTAAATTCAAAGTTCCTAGATGAGTTCCAGGTAGATGGAAGTGCCATCAAGTAAAACAGGGAAGTGGGGGGTGTCTGAAAGGAAACCCAATGAGTACAGAAAATGGGTACTCCTGGAGCACCCTAAAGAAACTGTCCAATAAACAAGTAGGTAAATCTAGAACTCAGGAGAGAACATTTAAGGCAAAAATATAAAATCAGGAGGTTATTAGCCAGAAACCGTACAAAAGGATAGAACCAAAGACAAAAGTTCCAGAGACCACCAATATTTAAAACACAGTCAGGAGTAAATGAAAACTGGGAGAGAGTAGTGATACAGAAGTCTGCGAAGGAGAGAGTTAAACAAAGATGGGAGTTATCACTGTATTGAATGTATCAAAGAGGCCAAGATAAGAACTTTAATGCCTCTCCTGGATTTGGTAATTGAGTAACTTTCAATTTGAAGGAGAGATTACAGATGAATGGATGGTAAAGAAAGCTAAACTAGGCAGGGGTTGAGTGAATGGCAGAGGCAGAAAGAGAGAGCAATCTTGGCTGAGGGGAAAGTAACAGCTGGAAGAAAACAGAGGGCTGAAGAACATTTTCAGGGAAGGGACCAGCGGAGAGTGAAATTTTTAAATTATGCCTTGTACTTAAAATTTAGTATAAGGAAAGTTAGCCGCCATACGTTAAGTGAAAAAACAGGCTGTAGGATATGGATAGTATGACACCACTTAAAATAAAATTCTATCTCCTTTCTATGGCCTTCAGGGCCTTGAGGTCCGTTAAGACCTGGCCCCTGCCCCCTTCTGACTGCTTCATATGCCATTCTCTGTCATTCGCTATACCCCTGCCACAACAAGCATTCTATTTTGATGCTTCAACTTGCCAAGCTGGTTCTTGCCCCAAGAGTTTTGCACTGGATATTATTTCTGCCTGGAATTCTTTTCTGCCTATCAATGGCCAGGTCCTTCAAGACATTCAGATTTCAATTCAAACATCACCTCCTTAGAGAGGCCTGCTCAACCTGTAATATTCTATATCCTTCTACCCCAAAGTTGTTATCATTAACCTGTGTTAGCCAACAATCAGTCTCTCAAATTCTTATTTACTTGTCCATCTTCCCCACCTCCACCCCCGAATGTTTAAAATACTGCTTGGCACTCTATTGTTGAATGAAAATGTACACACACAGACACACACAAAAAAAGAAAATGTACACAAACACACACACACAAATATATAAATGTATGTATTTACATGAAAAGCATTAGGAAAGTTCTGAAAGGTATTTATCTGAACTTATTTATACCAGGGGTGAGTGGGAGACTAGAAGGAGAGGTATACAGTACCTATTCATTTTTTGCTTCATAGATCTTTATTCAAAATTTCTACAAAAATCATGTCTTTTGGGCAGCCCGGGTGGCTCAGCGGTTTAGCGCCGCCTTCAGTCCAGGGCGTGATCCCGGAGACCTGGGATTGAGTGCCAAGTCAGGCTCCCTGCATGGAGCCTGCTTCTCCCTCTGCCTGTGTCTCTGCCTCTTTCTCTCTCTCCTGTGTATTCTCATGAATAAATAAATAAAATCTTTTAAAAAATGTCTTTTATAACTGGAAAACGATTTTTATAAAATGACCAAAGGAACCGAAGATAATCTACTCTTCATCTCATTTTCTTTTGTTGGGTTGTAATGACCTAATCTCACTGCAGGCTGATCCTTTAGTTGTTTGGTAGTTCAGTTCAAAGTTAGAATCTTAAACCCTAGAGCTAGAGAGAACTCAGAGATCATCTACTTCAACCCCCTAGTGTTACAGATGAGGAAGCAGAGACTCATAGTAATCTAATTAACAAAAACTAGGGCACTGATAAAAAATTTTCCAAGACCAAATGATTAAAAACTATTTAAAGGGCTATTATATGTTATACATAATTTAAATGACAACTAATAAAAGCTTACTAAAGATTACTCTCATATATAACCTACAATCTTCTGGTGAAATTATTACTCAAAGTAAAACTACTTCCTTAAGCACACTACTTGACCAATGAACCCTATGGTTAAGCTCTGGTTAACCATTATGCTATGACAAAGGATTCAGAATACATAAATACAGGCAGTGAAAAATTATTCACCGTTAGTGTGCAGACTAACTGAATTAGGAGGCACTTCTTTCCACCAAGGTATACGGTAAATCAAATATTTAAGTATTCATTGCATTTTGATTCAAATTTCTATATCAATGTCTACAGTGTATTTTTAATGGAATTTAATAAAAATTAAATGCCGAATAAGAAGAAATACTTTAGTAAATATTTACAGAAACGACTTAAGTATTTCTCTTTACATACATACCGTAGTTTACCAGGAATACAACAAATTTTAAACTTTTCAATAATACCATTTTATGGTTTTTTAATAAACTATCTCATGTGACCCTTACAACATCCCAGAGAACAGAAATTATTACTCCTATTTAGGAGAGAAAAAATGGGGCTCCGAGCTTAAGCAACTTAAGTCATTTGGACAAGTCCTCGTACCCCAGATCCTCCACCTCTTAGCCACTGTTGTTTCCATCTACCCAAACTACTTTTACCATTCTTTAAAATACAAAAACACTTTACAGTTTCTTTCCTGCCATGTTGGTAAAGGTTGAGGGGGCTATTGAAACCCTCAGGGATAGCAGTCCTATCCCTTTCTATTCCATCTGAAATTTTAGTACCTAAGAAAACATTACTCATTCATCTTAACAGTGAGGAGAAATGTGTGACAGCCACCCTTATTGAGAATTGTGCTCATCAGTGACTCGTTACGAAATCCTACCAAATATTCAATTGTTTTCTTAATCCTAATAAAAGTACCCTCTTATTTAGAAAGCTCTCTACAAACAATATCCAAAGTATGGGCTTTATAGTTGGAAAAAAAAAATCAGAAACCAAATCTCAGTCCTATTCAGCTATTGGTACATTTCTGAACACCTTGTCTCACTGTCCTCATCTGTAAATTGAGGATAATACCATCTGTATCTCTGATGTGTTCAATAATATGTATAAGGCACTCACAAAAGGGCCAAGTCATAGAGTTGGCTGTTAGAGAAACAAACAGACAGGTACTGCTGATAATGTCATTGAATTTATGGGAACTTTACTAGCTTAGTTTCTGGTGTGATCTTATTTCTTGTTTTCCCAAATCATTTGAGACAGAACACACTTTATCACTCCTGCTCCCAGGGAACCAGTTAAAGTGAGTGCTGGGTTTCAGTCCTTTTCTAAACTCTCTAACCAAGCAACATAGTAATAAATCTAATTTTTGGTGATCTTAGAAATGGCTATAGCCAAATCAAAGGTTACACTATTTGGACTCCTATTCTTTATCTAAATCTGCTAACTGCATCATTCACTATTTTGAAACAAAACAAACAATTGTGAGGCTGATTTTATAAACACAAATCACATATAAAATGACTTCATGGTGGGTGAAGGGGTAGGAGGTTTGGGGAGGGTGGGGAGAGTGAAGAGGGAAACATTGAGAAATTGTATCTTCAGCAATCCAACACACTCTCCATTTACTTTCTCTCTTTTAATCTGTGTAAGCATCATTCTAATCGATAGAAGCATCATTTTACTGATAAGGAAAGAGAAGCTCCAACTCTTGCTCAGTGCCCCTTGCTCAAGGTGCTCTAACCACTCGAACCCACAGGAAGGCTCTTGCTCAACTCAAGGCCTTTCTTCTAATCATCTCTGCCCAGAATGCTGTCCCTACAGTGCTGTCTCCTTTGCCTTCAGGTCTCACCTCTCAAATTGCAGCTACTCTCATCATCTCTAGAGTAGCATATACCAACTATTCCATCCTTATTTCCCTCACAGAACACAAAATGATCTGTACTCATCCTCTTATGTTGAGGAACAGAGCACACCTCTGATTTCTCACTGCGCCCTACTTTTATCCTACAGCATAGATGACACTGGCTTAATGAATGAATGAACAACCATACCTGCCCACAGTGCTTTACAGCAAGTAAATGTCAGGGCCTAGAAACCAATACCAGATAAATCTCACCGCAAACTCCTGCCGGGCCCTACCACGACTTTTTCACTGGTGTGAGGGGAGATGCTTTGGGCTGAGCAATCAGTTTTGAGCTGTCTTCCCACCTTCTATATCCATTCACTTTATTTTCTTTTTTAAGATTTTATTTACTTATTCATGAGAGGCACAGGTTGAGAGACAGGCAGAGACACAGGAGGAGGGAGAAGCAGGTCCATGCAGGGAGCCCGAGGTGGGACTCGATCCCAGGTCTCCAGGATCACGCCCTGGGCGGAAGGCAGGCGCTAAACCACTGAGCCACCTGGGCTGCCCTCCATTCACTTTAAAAGAAAATATAGAACTATATAACTTAATACTCCAAAATATTTAGAGTTTCCCCGAGATCCTGCATTGCCTCCTGGAATCACAACTCAATCTATGATGTCCCGAAACAATCAAATACTTCAAAACTGTTAAGTAACTGGCCTCCACACACATAGTTATTTAAGGCTAAAAGAGAATTCACGTCGCACAAATTTTTAAGTGTATCTGACTAGCAGGCTTTGCATTATTTTGTTCTAAGATGCTCTGAATTCCCCAACAGATCACACAGAAAAATTTTAAGGCCAGGCATGGGATTACCGTTCTGATAACGAGAAGAATGTTCTTCCTTCAAGACGGAGGACACAAATGCAGCGATGTGCTGCGTGTCCCTATGAAAACATGTCCTTGCACAACACAGAAGCCACCTCCTGTGGAACGCCCAGCGTGGGTTCCAACAGGCCCTGACCTAGCGACACGCCCTTGGTGACCTTACCCATAGGGTCGAATACTTACTGCTGAGTCCTCCATCCTCGGATACTCCCGTCCCTCTCATTCCCAGGTAAGTCAGTCCCAATATTAGGAAAAACAAGCAGGCAGCAGTTAAGAGAAACATCGACAAGTAGTGGGCACTGAAACCCCCTGTCGGGGACACCTCCTCCCGCTTAAACTGCTGCAGAAGTTCCTCCTCGGGCTCCGAGAGCTTCGGTTTGTTGTAGGCGTTTTTCAGGTACGTGTGATTGGAGCCCGTATGGTTGGAGTGATTGATCCTGAGTGCACCGGGGGCGGCCGCCGACGCGCCGGGGGGGAGGCTGTTGCAAAACATCCTGGCCGAGTCCGCCGCACTCAGGGCCCCGCCGCCGATGTGGTTGTTGGTCTTCAGGAGGGAGCCCGAGGACGAGTCCAAGGTGGGGTCCGTGTCGGGGAGCGGCGGGGGCAGGAGAGGGGCCGGCCTCTTGGCGTGGACGCGGTACCTCGGAGCGGGGCTGGCGTCCAGGGCATCAGCCCCTCCTCCCTGCTGCTGGGGCTGGGGCCGGGGCCGGGGCTGGGGCTGGGGCTGGGGCTGCTGCGGCTGCTGCGGCTGCTGCTGCGGCTGCGGCTGCGGCTCCGCCGCCTCTCCGACGTTTCGGCTCCGGTCTAGACTCCCCGCGGCCGCCGCCCTGTCATTCATCGCGCTGCCTCCCCCTCCCTGAACGGAGGTCTCCGGGCGGCCCGCGGGCTTGGCGGGCGGCGCGCAGAGGGGCTTCCCGTGGCTCCGTCGGGGCCGGTGCCGCGACCCGGGGTCGTCCTTCGACACCGGCCTGCCGGGGGCCGCGCCGCCGTCGCCGTCCTCCTCCGAGTCCGAGTAGTCCTCCCGGCAGCCGTAGGACAGGAGCCGGCTGCCGTTGACGGGCCGGCTGGCCCAGCGCGGCTCCTCGGCCTCCGGGGCCCCGTCCTCCGCCTCCTCGCCGCCGTCCTCCTCGCCCGGCGCGGCTGCATCCCTCGCCGCCGGGGTCTGCAGCTCGGGGCCCGCCGGCCGCCGGGGCCCCCACCACGAGTGCGGCTTCCTGCGCTCGGCCGAGCTGCCGCCGGCGGCCTCGGGGGCGGCGGGGGGCGCCGAGGGCGCTCGGAGCGCGCGGCACTGCGGCGAAGGCCGGTCTCTCCTCCCGCCGCCGCCGCCGCCGCCGCCGCCGGCCTGGTCCCGGGGACTGGCCTCCGCGTCCGACTCGTCCGAGCTGAAGCCCAGCAGCACTTTGCTGCCGGCCGGGGCGGCGGCCGCGGCGCCCTCCGAGCCCGAGAGGCGGCCCAGGGCCCCGGCGGTCCGCGCGTAGGGCAGCTCGCCGCCCGGCCCCGGCCGGACCCCCGGCCCCGCCGCCGACAGCGCGGCGGCCGCCGTGTTATTGTTATTACTGTTCCGCGTCTTGCTGCCGCGGCCCCCGCACCGGTGCTGCTGCTGCTGCTGCTGCTCCTCCTCCCGAAGCTTCTTCAGCTTCTTGAGGTAGACCGGCCGCGTGCTCTCCGTCACCGGCCCGGGAGACAGGCCGTAGCGGCGGAGCTGCGAGAAGAGCTCCTCGTCCGAGAGGGGCTGAGGCGCCGAGGCCGCCGCCGCCGCCGCCGCCGCCATCTTCTCTCCAGGGTGTTTTACGAGCTCCGCGCTACCGGAAGTGACGCGCCGCCCTAGACCCTGAACTAGACCCGCTGCGTCGGCCCCGCGGCGCCGCGGCCGCCTCGGCCAATGGGAGGCGCGGGAGGAGCTCACCTGAGCGGGAAGCGGCCACCTGCGCGGCGCGCGGCCCCGGGCCCGAGGCCGGCCGCCCCCCGCCCCCGCCCCCGCCCCCGCCCCCGCCCCCGCCCCCTGCGGCCCCGCCGCCCCGCCGAGCTCCGGGCCCAGCCGCGCGCTGCGTCCTCCCCGCCCCCCGGCCTCAGCCCCGCGCTTCCAGGCGGCCGCCGCGGAGACCTGCAGCCCGAGGTGGCGCGCCGGCTCCCGGGGTCCCCGCCTCGCCCCGCCCCGGCCCGGCCCGGCCCCGATCTCCCTGCGCCGCGGCTGCCCGCTCCACTTACACCGCAGCCGGGACGGCCGCTCGCCTTGGGCGCTCTCTTCGGGGAAGCGTCTCCGCTAAGGTCCCGCGTCCGGCTCCCCGCGGGGAGCCTGCTGCTCCCTCTGCCTGTGCCCCTGCCTCCCTCGGCGTCTCTCATGAATGAATAAAATAAAATAAATAAGAAATAAAATAAATAAAATGAAAATAAGTAAAATAAAAATATTTTAAATTAAAAATTAAATGAATTTTAAATTAAATTAATAAAAAATAAAATAGAAATAAATAAAATTAATTAAATAAAAATTAAAATAAAATAAATAAAAATAAAATCAAATAAATAAATGAAATGAAATTAAAATAAATGAAATAAAAATAAAATGAAATGGAAATAAATTAAATTAAAAAAATAAAATGAATTTTAAAATAGAATAAATTAAAAACAATAAATAAAATAAATTTTTAAAATAAAGTTAATAAAATAAAATAATAAATCAATAAAAAATAAAATGAAATAAGATAATAAAATAAATACAATAAAATAACAAAATAAAATAAATAAAATAAAATAGTAAATACAATAAAATAAAATTTAAAAAGAAAGCAGATTCTGGAGATGGGGCGGGATGGAACATAAAGATACAGTTTCCCTCAGGGAACTGTATCCCAACTTAGAGGTGAACGAGGAAGTGGTTCATGACACCATAGTGTAACAAGAGCTTCTGAGAGGTCAGCAAAAGCCCAAAGGAGGGTCACCTAAGATGGTCTGGAACTTAGGGGAAGTCAAGGAAGGCAGTTTACCAAGAAAAGATGCAGAGCCAACCAGTCCCAATACAATTTTCTTCCAGAAAATAGCTTCCAGAGTAATAGCTATTCATTCTTTACTTGGTTGTAAGGGATCTTTTTTTTTTCTCCCTTTTAAAAATCTGGTGACCTTGATAGAGGGTCATGTTTGTAATGGAAGGAACCTACCTTCTGCTTCATTTTGTGACTGAGAAAAAAGACAACACGCCATCTCCTTTTTTTTTCCCTAAAGATTTTATTTATTTATTCATGAGAGACAGAGAGAGAGAGAGGCAGAGACACAGGGAGAAGCGGGCTCCATGCAGGGAGCCTGACCCAGGACTCCATCCCGGGACCCCGGGGTCACGACCTGGGCCGAAGGCAGGTGCTAAACCACTGAGCCACCCGGGCTGCCCTTCTTTCCTTCTTAGTACCTTTGCAACCTGTAGTTACTAATTGTTAATGATTTCGTTTTACGTATTTGGTTGCTTAGTTATATTATTTATTTAATTATTTCTGTTCTAATAAGACCTGGGAACTGAAAGCTCTGTGAGGCAGAGGAACCTTCCATTATTCACAACTTCATTCCTATGGTGCTTCTGACTGGAAGTTCCATAAACATGTGTCGAACCTAATTAATGAATTACAAAGCTAGGATCGTATGAGGTGGATGTTTTGACCCCGGGGATAGTGCAAATTAGGAGAAGACACCTGAACCCAAAATCATATGGCAGAAACACTACCTCCTTTACCCAGTAGGTAATGGACCCCAGAAAGGTGAAGTTTGCCCACTTTGATAATGATCACTTCCCTTTTCCTCAAAACTTGGCAGAGCTGACATGTCCTGAGTACTTCAACCCTACCAGCTACCTGGTAGCAACGGGCACAATATGTGGCACACCATAGTAATTTTTCATCAAATGAGTTATTTTACCCTCTGGCATTAGACGTATCTGGATGGAAAGATAGTTAGTCTCTGCATAGATATTAGCTTTTCAACATTTCGATTCCAACAGTAGAATAACAGTAACTTGAATTTTTTTTTTTTTTTTTTTTACCTCTTTTAGCAAAAGCTTGCCATCTCAAAAAACCTTTTAAGCGGAGGGGCACTTCCTTGTCCTTCATGAGGAGACTTTAAAAATTACAAACAAAAATGACTGTTAAGCACTTACAAGAGCATTAGACGCAGTAAATTTTATCCACTATTAGGATAATGACCCAGGATTTATTACCATAATTGTCTGGGTGAGAAGGCAAGTGGTTACAAACGTACTAGACCTGTGTCTCAGTAGAGCAGAGCAGTTAAGTTGTGAGCTTTGAAGGTAAACAAAACTGGATAGGGACCCAGCCCTGTCTCTTACTTTTATTCTTAGTTGAACATTTGTTCCACACTCTACTGGCTCTTCAGGCAGGAATTATGGGAGACTGTTGGCTTGGCCTTTAATTTTGATGAACCTTTAAATATTTTCCTCTAAGGGCTATGAGAATATTTCTATTTCTGCCTGTGACTTTGGGCAAATTGTTTAGTTTTTCTGAACCTTAGTATCTGTATAAACAAAAGAGGCATGATAAACATTCCTCAGAAGGCTGCTTTAAGGATTCAATGACAATATGTCTACATAATGCTTAGCACCACACCTAAGCATACAATGTGCACTCAATAAATGTTAGCCAGTAACATAAAGCCAAGCATTGTGTGTGTTTGGTAGCAAGGCTCCTGAGAACACCATGTAACAGTAATTAAAGAAAATGCCACTGCGCAGACAAACAGAAATGGTGAAACTTTGCCCAAGGCCTGTAATAATCACATTTAATAGCTGATGAAGATGAAGGGCTTTGGCAACCAGAGTCCTTGGTCATTTCAGCCCCTAGAGGCAGCAAGGCTTGGAATGAACGAGGAAGCGGGCATCCCAAGTCTATGTTTTGTGACTTAGGGCAAATCATGGGCTCTCAGAACTTCAATTTACTCTTTTCTAAAATGTTGATAGTATTGTCTGCCCTCCTTGGCACACAATTAATATTCAACAAGTATTGATTGAGAATGATGAATGAATCCTGTATGTGAAGCTATGTTGTTTCCATGTTAGGTATTATAGCCAGATAGTCATAGTAATGAAAACTGCAATTCATATCAACTTCACATAAACATGGTTTCATGTAGTCTACAAGAAATCTTGCCTCTCTGGAGATACCAATGACATGATTTTTTGCATGAAACTATTGGGGATAACGATTACCCTCTGAGTGTTTGAACAGCTTCATACTTTCTCACGGCAACCTTTGCTACCTCAGCACCCTCACTACTTACTTCCAACATTCTCCTCATCTACCAGGGGATCTTACTCCTGCTTCTAGATTGGCTAACTTTGAAAACACAAAACTCTAAATTGGCAAGCTGCACCCACATACTTTACAGGAAATGCAAACTCAAACTAACTCCTGCACTATAGCTTCCAAAGATTTGACTCAGGGAAATATTTGTGACGGATTGCAGCAGGATAGGCAGGTCCATTTCTTCCAGATGTTTTTAATTTTGTCTCTGCCTTATGCCTGCTTATCAGAGACCAATGTATTGAGAGCTAGATTACTAACACTTACACTCCCCTGACTTCCAGTTAATTACCTTTTACCATGTTGCTTTTCATAGTCATGACACCAGTTTATCTTAAAGAACCCTCTAAAGAATATGAAACCTGACACTATATTCAAATAAAGCTATTGCTGAGGGTTTGTTTCCTTAAAGAATGTCCTTTGTGGTCTTCGTATTAGAAATAGTTACATTTTTTTTTCTCATTTATTTTTGCTTTGGCTTTATTTTTATTGAGGTGAAATTCATATAATATAAAGTTAACCACTTAAAAGTACATAATTAGGGGTACCTGACTGGCTCAGTCTGTAGAGCATACAACTCTTAACCTCATGATTGTAAATTCTAACCCCATGTTGGGTGTAGAGATGACTTAAAAATCAAATCTTTTAAGAAATAAAAATAAATAGGAGCGCCTGGGTGTTTCAGTTGGTTAAGTGTCTGCCTTCGGCTCAGGTCTGGGATCAAGCCCCGCATTGGGCTCTCTGCTCAGTGAGAAGTCTGCTTCTCCCTCTCCCTCTGCTCCTCCTCCCTGTTCATGCTCTCTCTCTCCCTCTCTCACTCAAATAAATAAATAAATAAATAAATAAATAAATAAATAAATAAATTTAAAGACCTTTTATTTTTTTAAGACCTTTTAAATAAATAAATGAAAGTACATAATTAGTGCCACTTAGTACATTTACAATGTCACTTCCAAAAAACCTTATATCCATTAAGCAGGCATTTCCTATTTCTTCCTCTCTCCAGCCCTGGCAACCACTGATCTACTTTCTGTCTCTATGGATTTAACTATTCTGGGTATTTCATACAAATAGAATCATACAACATGTGACCTTTGGTGTCAGATCTCTTACACTTAGCGTAATGTTTTTGAGGTTCATCCAGGTTATACCATGGATTGGCACCTCATTTCTTTTTATGGCTAAATAATGTTTCATTGATGGATATGACACGTTTTGTTTATCTGTTCATCCATTGATAGACATTTTGGTTCTTTCCACCTTTTGGTTATTGTGAACAATGCTATGAACATTGGTATACAAGTATCTGTTTGAATATTTCAATTATTTTAAGTATATACCTAGGAATTTCAAATCTGATGGTAATTCAATGTTTAAGTTTTTGAGGAGCCACAAAACTACTAATTTGTGTTTCACCTTGTGGATAAACACTGCTGTTTTGGTGACTAGCCATGACTTGACCTTGTGGATAAACACTGTTCCTTTGGTGTCAGTCTCAC